GACGGGGTTTCACCATGTTGCTCCGGCTGGTCTCGAACTCCTGACCTCAGGTGATCCACCTGCCTCCGCTTCCCAAAATGCTGGGATTATAAGCGTGAGCCACCGCGCCAGACCGACAGGGTCTCACTTTGTTGTCCCCAGGCTGGAGTTGCAGTGGCAGGATCATAGCTCACTGCAGTGACCACAGACGCTCATAGCCACACCTGAGACGCGTACAACCACACCTGGCTAATTTTTTATTTTTATTTATTTTTAGAGATGGAGCCTCCCTGTGTTGCTCAGGCTGGTCTTGAACACCTGATCTTCTCCTTCCTATGCCTCACAGAGCGCTGGGATTACAGGCACACACCATCACTCCCAGTCCAAACTGATTTTTAAACTTTTTTTTTTTTTTTTTTTTTTTGAGATGGAGTCTCGCTCTGTCACGAGGCTGGAGTGCAGTGGTGTGATCTCAGCTCACTGCAACCTCCACCTCCTGGGCTCAAGTGATTCTCTTGCCTCAGCTTCCCAAGTAGCTGGGACCACAGGCTCGGGCCACCACGCCCAGCTAATTTTTTTGTGTTTTTAGTAGAGATGAGGTTTCACCATGTTGGCCAGGATGGTCTCAATCTCTTGACCTCCTTGTCTGCCTGCCTCAGCCTCCAAAACTGCTGGGATTAACAGGTGTGAGCCACTACCCCCAGCTGATTTTTTCTTTTTTTTTTTTTTTTCTTTCTTTCTTTTTTTTTTTTTTGAGACGGAGTTTCCCTCTTGTTACCCAGGCTGGAGTGCAATGGCGCGATCTCGGCTCACCGCAACCTCCGCCTCCCAGGCTCAGGCAATTCTCCTGCCTCAGCCTCCTGAGTAGCTGGGATTACAGGCACACGCCACCATGCCCAGCTAATTTTTTGTATTTTTAGTAGAGACGGGGTTTCACCATGTTGACCAGGATGGTCTCGATCTCTCGACCTCGTGATCCACCCGCCTCGGCCTCCCAAAGTGCTGGGATTACAGGCTTGAGCCACCGCGCCCGGCTTGATTTTTTCTTTTTTTGAGACAAAGGTCTCACTATGTTGTCCAGGCTGGTCCTGAACCTCTGGGCTCAAGTGATTCTCCCTCCTCAGCCTCCCAAAGTCCTGGGATTACAGGCGTGAGCCACCGTGCTCGGCCTTGATTATTTTTCTTAGAAAATCGGAACCGTCAGTGGCAGATTCTAACAACACACATTCCAGTCTCAGAAGTTTTATCCTCTATAAGGTGTTCCAATCCTAGGATCTTGGAAATCAAATAACTTTTGGAATTTCACAGTTGGAAGCACGGAACATTAGAGGAATGTTAGAAACATGCACTTTTAGGACTCTAGAAGTGCAAACTCAGAATCATTCATCTTAAGCAGGCTAATTTGCTGTGCCTCAGTTTCCTTATCTGTAAAATAAGGATGATAATGGTACATCTGCCTCATAGATCATGCAGAAGATTAAACAAATGTAAAGCACTTAAGGCTGCGTCTTGCATCTGAGTGTTAGCTAGTGTTACTGAGGCTTCATTGTTTTTGTTTTTGTTTTTGTTTTTAATGGGGTTTTGCTCTTGTTGCCCAGGCTGGAGTGCAGTGGCACCATCTTGGCTCACAGGAACCTCCACCTCCTGGGTTTTTGCAGTTCTCCTGCCTCAGCCTCCTGAGTAGCTGGGATTACAGGCATGTACCAACACGCCTGGCTACTTTTGTATTTTTGGTAGAGATGGGGTTTCTCCATGTTGGTCAGGCTGGTCTGGAACTCCTGACCTCAGGTGATCTGCCTTCTTTGGCCTCCCGAAGTGCTGGGATTACAGGCATGAGTCACCACGCCCAGCTGAGGCTTCAGCTTAGAATCAACTCATCTTTGCTATTTACAAATAAGCAAGGAAGCTCAGAGGCTCTCGGACCCTGGCAGCCATTCAAAGGGATCCATGGCAGGGTGCGGTGAATCACGCCTGTCATCCCAGCACTTTGGGAGGTTGATGCAGGAGGATGGCTTAAGCCCAGGAATTCAAGATCAGCCTGGGCAACATAGTGAGACCCAGTGTCTGCCAACAATTTAACCAGGCATGGTGGTATGCGCCTGTAGTCCCAGATACTCAGGAGGCTGAGGTGGGAGGATGGCTTGAGCCTAGGAGTTGGAGGGTGAAGTGAGCTGTGATTGTGCCATTGCATTCCAGCCTGGGTGACAGGGCAAGACCCTGTCTCAAAAATAAATCAGAGAGATCCAGGCCTCGTATAAGCCACTCTGGACTCATAAGGGGAAGAGTCACTGTAAGGTTGATGGAAAGGATGGAGAGTCAGACCCAGGGTCAGGTTTAGCAAATTCATCACAGGCAGCGAAGGCAGCAGCCTGGCTTACGGACTATGGGGGTTATATAGGGGCTTTGCAGGTAGCCGGGTGCTATTCTAAGAAAAACCACCTTTTGGTTCTCAGGGACTGACATTCTACTTAATTGGGTCAACATCCTGGGTTCGAGAGACGGGTGTGACCACGTCCTGGAACCTAGGTGTCCTGTTTAGAAGGCTTGAGGCTGTTTTTGCAGGGGAGAATGGGGGGGGGTGGTCTATGGGCTTGCCTTGCTGTGACCCTAACAGACACAGAGAGGGAAGGCGCCACACACATGGTCACACGGCTGAAGTCAGCTAGATCCTTGCGCAGAGCGTTGGAAAGGTGACAAGCCCTGGATCATCGTAGCCCTCCGAGACCCGCTGCCCCTCACCCCCCTACCCGGCCCAGCGCCGGACCACCTGGGACAGGGGTTTCGGCGACCACAACCTGCCTGCTTCCTGAGCGTCCGCCAGGGGGCGCAGCGAGCCGCGAGACCGGGCCCGCGTGGGCGGGAAGAGCGCGCGGTCAGCGTGTCCCGGGGCGTTGTGGGTGTGGCTGGGTGTGATTGCGCGGGACCTTGCGCGTGGCGCGAGCTGCCCAGTTCTAGCCAAGAGTCCCCGGGGGGTGAGCACGCGCGCACTCCTGGCAACCCGTGTGAGCAAGATCCCCCCTCCCCAGCACGGGCCGGTGTGTCCCCCTGGCGTAACGCGTCTGGAGTTGTGTACCGAGGTTGTGCAAGGGCACGGTGCTGGGCAGGGCAGCGGGGAAGGGAGGGGCTGGTGGAGCACTTCGTGCCCGAACACACACACACATCGCGCGCGCCCCAGGGCTTGGTTCCCAGGCCCCCGCCGCGGGAGGTGGGAGGGAGGGATGTCCCGCGGGGAGGGCCCCAGAGTCACTTTTCTTCGGAAAATATGCCGGTCTGGCCCCCAGCCCAGGCCTGAGTCACCAGGCCTCGCTGCACTGATTCACGGACTCCATCCCGCCCCGGAGAGCACGGAAGGGGGCCTCCCCCCTACCCCAAATCCTGCCCAGGTCTCTCCTTCCCAGGGGAAGGACGGGCGATCCCTGTCCCACGCCAGCCAGCCTGCCACTTGGGAAGAAGCCTTGGTTTTATTCGCTTTCTGGACACTGTTCAGTTCAGAGGCCCCTCCCAGCCACGGGGTGGGGGGACAATAGTGGGCGTGGGAATCCCAGCGAGCATCCTGAAGGGGGCGTCGCCTCCATGTATTTTACTCTTCACCATCTGTTCCATGGGGTCCCCTGCCAGGGTCAAGCACTAATACGTGGTGAAGACAGCAAAGAACGTCGGGGTCCCTTTAGGAGTGGGGAGAGGGCTGTAGCACCAAGAAACCCCCTCCCTCGCCCACAACATCCCTGAAAACTAGACTAAAATAAAGCCCCGTGGCCTTTCTATCTGGTAGGGGCTCCACTTAAATATGGACTGGCGGGATGGGGTGGGGGGGCAGATAGGCGGTGGCCCAGCAATCCGTAAGTCCAGACCACCAGCTGTGCGAGGTTTCCAGGGGGCCAGGGGCCACGAACACGTGGGTGGAGGACGGAAATACCTCCAACGGGGTACAGCTGGGATGGAAGGGGCTTTTCTGCCTGCTGTAGGATCCTTTTTAAAGAAATGGGTGTGAAGCCCGGCGCAGTGGCTCATGTCTGTAATCCCAGCACTTTGGGAGAATGAGGCGGATGAATTACCTGAGGTCAGGAGTTCGAGACCAGCCTGGCCAACATGGTGAAACCCCGTCTCTACTAAAAATACAAAAATTAGCCAGGGTGGTGACTAGTGCCTGGAGTCCCAGCCACTTGGGAGGCTGAGGCACAAGAATGACTTAAACCAGGAGGAGGAGGTTGCAGTGAGCCAAGATCTCACCACTGCACTCCAGCCTGGGTGGCAAAGTAAGACTCCATCTCAAAAATAAAAATAATAAATAATAAACATAGGCTGGGCGTGGTGGCTCATGCCTGTAATCCAAGCACTTTGGAGGCCAAGGCGGGCAGATCACCTGAGGTCAGGAGTTCAAGATCAGCCTGGCCAACATGGTGAAACCCCGTCTTTTAAAAAATATAATAATAATAATAATAATAAATGGGTGTGGGCTGGGCACAGTGGCTCTGTGTCTGTAATCCCAGCACTTTGAAAGGTCAAGGAGGGCGGATAACCTGAGGTCAGGAGTTCAAGACCAGCCTGGTCAACATGATGAAACCCCATCTCTACCAAAAAAAAAAAAAAAATAGCAAACACTTGTAATCCCAGCTACTTGGGAGGCTGAGGCAGAACTGTTTGAACTCAAGAGGCAGAGGTTACAGTTAGCCAAGAACGCAGCACTGCACTACAGCCTGGGTGATAGTTCGAGACTCCCTCTCAAAAAAAAGAAATAGAAAAGAAATGGGTGTGGACAGAATTGGGGGCTTTCCCCAAGCAAGGGGAGGGGCTTCGGAGAGGCCCATCTGAGGAAACAGGAGGCTGTGTCTCCCCTCTGAGCCCCCTATGGTCCCGAGACCTGAGGATGTGATGGAATGGGTTGGGCTTCTTGCCTGGCTGGGCAGAAGGAAGTGGAGCAGAAAGGGGTCTGTTTATCTGTTAGTCATTTCAACCACGGGGCTGCTCCCCCAGGGGAGGGACTGGGGTCCTGCTAGGAATGAGTGTGTGTTTTTGTGATGGTGTAGGCGCCCTCTCCTGGGAAAGTCGGCTTCCACAAGGGCACATGTATTTGTCTATTTTGTTCTCTATGGTAATGCCCGGTGCCTAGAACAGGGCTGGGCACATAATAGGTGCTCAATAAATATCTGAATGACTAATGGATGAAGGGATGCCTGCGTGTGCTAGTGTCTGTGTGATGTGCCTAAGTGAACGTGAGGCTGGAGGTGTGAGGGGCGGACAGAGAAGTCTTGTCCCTCCCGTGGTCCCCTCTAAATGCTTCCACCGGGGTGCCTGGCAATAGTGGGGAGGGAGACCCCCCCCGGTCCTTAGAGCTGGGCAGGGAGGGCAGGGAGGGCATGTGTGAGCCAGGGCGGGGGTGTGCGTGCAGCCAACTGGAGCTGGGGAGCCACAGCGGGGCCATGGGGGGTGTGCACCAGCTCACTCAGCAGAGCCTTTGTGGCGCCGCTTGGAGGGTGGCACTAGGCGACGGGGCAGGTTGGTGGGCAGCCCGTGGCCCTCCAGCTTCGCCTCGATGAGGTGGCTGGCCAGCGCGAACTCCTCGTCATCCAGCATGCCGTCCCGGTCGACATCACTCAGCTTCCAGATGCGCCCCAGCACCGAGTTGGGGAGCTTGGTCCCCACCATCCAGGTCTTGGCCTTGGAGCCGCTCAGCTTGCCATCGGCAGGCGCCAGGTTGTAGAAGATCTCGTCGTACTTGGACTTATCCTTGGTGACCACCCACTCGGCCTCGTCGTCCGAGCCCTCCTCGCCGTCCTCCATGGCCTCGTCGGGCCCCCGCTCCACGAACGGGCCCATGTGGGTGCCCTCAAAAGCGCCCCCCTGCACGCCCACCTCCATGCTCTCCAGCTCCTCCTGCCGCAGCAGGGGCATCAGCTTGGCGATGTCGTGTGTCAGCATCTCATCCAGCGCCTCCAGCAGCTTTGGCTTCAGCGAGTGAAACTTGGTGAAGTCATGTGCCATCAGCAGCTCCTGTGGTGGGGGACAGGGGCACCCAGAATTCAGGCAGTGTCCTCCCTGAGGCCCTCGAGCTGCAAGGTGGAACCAGGACACTGGGGAAGCTCGGGGTGGGGGGCAGCTGCTGTGGGTTGTTGTTGTCGTTGTTTGTTTGTTTGTTTTGAGACAGAGTTTCACTCTTGTTACCCGGGCTGGAGTGCAATGGCGCGATCTCGGCTCACCGCAACCTCCGCCTCCTGGGTTCAGGCAATTCTCCTGCCTCAGCCTCCTGAGTAGCTGGGATTACAGGCACGCGCCACCATGCCCAGCTAATTTTGTATTTTTAGTAGAGACGGGGTTTCACCATGTTGACCAGGTTGGTCTCGATCTCTCGACCTTGTGATCCACCCGCCTCGGCCTCCCAAAGTGCTGGGATTACAGGCTTGAGCCACCGCGCCCGGCCTTGTTTGTTTCTTTTGAGACAGAGTCTTGCTTTGTTGCCCAGCCTGGAGTGCACTGGTGTGATCTTGGCTCACTGCAACCTCCGCCTTCCAGGTTCAAGTGATTCTCCTGCGTCAGCCTCCCAAGTAGCTGGGACTACAGGCATGTACCACCACGCCCGGCTAATTTTGTATTTTTAGTAGAGACGGGATTTTTCCACGTTGGTCAGGCTGGTCTCGAACTCCTGACCTCAGGTGATCCACCCGCCTCGGCCTCCCAAAGTGCTGGGATTACAGGCATGAGCCACCACGCCTGGCCTAATGTTTATAATTTTAGTAGAGACAGGGTTTCACCATGTTGGCCAGGCTGGTCTTGAACTCCTGACCTCAGGCGATTCTCACACCTCCCAAAGTGCTGGGATTATAAGCATAAGCCACCGTGGCAGGCCTGTTTTTTGTTTTGTTTTGTTTCGTTTTGTTTTTTTGACAGGGTCTCACTCTGTCACCCAGGCTAGACTCTCCCAAGTAGCTGGGACCACAGGCACACACCACCATACCCAGCTAAGTGTTTAGTTATTCATAGAGACAGGGTCTCGATATGTTGCCCAGGCTGGTCTCAAACTCCTGGGCTCAAGCGGTCCTCCCACCTTGGCCTCCCAAAGTGCTGGGATTGCAGGGTGAGCCACTGCCCCTGGCCAGCTTAGCAGATCTTTACTGACACGTGCAGAAGTGCTGGAATATCTAACAACCTGTTCCGCCCCGGCATCCACCACTCAGAAGACACGTGGGCAACAAGGTCCCAGAGGCTTTCTCCTGCAGCCCAGAATTACTGAAGGGTGGGAAGGCTGGGCCCCTCTGAGGAGTGAGAGCAGTGCCCTTTGCCAGCTGGCAGAGAAAGGTTTCCATATTTTCACATGAGGTATGACCTTCTCCGAGCATCCCAGGACCCTAACTGCCCTCTACCCAACTCCAGCTGCCCCGCCAGCATGCCCAACAGTGAAAGTTAAAACAAACTCGGCACGTGTTAGTGGCTCACACCTGTAATCCCAGCACTTTTGGAGACTGAGGTGGGAGAATCACTTGAGCCCAGGAGTACAGGACCAGCCTGGGCAACATGGCAAAACCCTATTTCTTTCCCCCCCCGCCTTTTTTTTTTTTTTTTTGAGATTAGTCTCTCTCTGTTGCCCAGGCTGGAGTGCAATGGCGTGATCTCAGCGCACTGCAACCTCCGTCTCCAGGGTTCAAGCAATTCTCCTGCCTCAGCCTCCCCAGTAGCTGGGATTACAGGCACCTGCCACCACACCAAGCTAATTTTCATATTTTTAGTAGAGATGGGGTTTCACCATGCTGGCCAAGCTGGTCTCGAACTCCTGACCTCACGCAATCTGCCCACCTCAGCTTCCCAAAGTGCTGTGATTACAGACATGAGCCTCTGCGCCCAGCCTCAAAACCCTATTTCTAAATTAAAAAAAAAAAATTTAAATTAGCCAGGCTTAGTGGTGCATGCCTGCAGTCCCAACTACTTTAGGAAGCTGAGGCAGGAGAATCACTTGAACCTCGGGAGGTGGAGGTTGCAGTGAGCCAAGACAGCACCTCTGCATTCCAGCCTGGGTGACAGGGCAAGAGTTTGTCTCAAAAAAAAAAAAAAAAAAGGCAGGGAGAGGGGAGTAAAAAGCAAAGTTAAGGCCGGGCGCGGTGGCTCACGCCTGTAATCCCAGCACTTTGGGAGGCCGAGGCGGGTGGATCACGAGGTCGAGAGATCGAGACCATCCTGGTCAACATGGTGAAACCTCGTTTCTACTAAAAATACAAAAAATTAGCTGGGCGTGGTGGCGCGTGCCTGTAATCCCAGCTACTCTGGAGGCTGAGGCAGGAGAATTGCCTGAACCCAGGAGGCGGAGGTTGCGGTGAGCCGAGATCGCGCCATTGCACTCCAGCCTGGGTAACAAGAGCGAAACTCCGTCTCAAAACAAACAAACAAACAAACAAAAAGCAAAGTTAAGAAAGCTCAATTCCTGCCACTGTGCCACTGTGCCACGCAGCAAGGGCTGAGCACTGGCTGCGGGATTCGGAGGTGAGGTTTGGAATGATCAGATTATCAGGGCTTCCTAGGGCCACCCCCTCCCCACGCAGAGGTTGCTCACTGCAACCTCCACCTCCCAAGTTCAAGTGATTCTCCTGCCTCAACCTTGAGAGTATCTGAGATTATAGGTACCCGCCACCACGCCCGGCTAATTTTGCATTTTTACTAGAGATGGAGTTTCACCATGTTGACCAGGCTGGTTTCGAACTCCTGACCTCAGGTGATCCTCCTATCTCAGCCTCCCAAAGTGCTGGGATTATAGGAGTGAGCCGCTGCATCTGGCCTGTATTTTACTTATTTGAACGAATGTAAGTAAGCCCACGTGGCTAATGGCTGCCATATTGCACAGGCGGACAGTAGAAGCCGCAGGTGTAACCCGTGCTGGCCTCAGCACCTGGACTTGGTCATGCCCTTGCTGCCAGGGCATCCAGGCTGCAACCTAGGAGCCCCACCCCTTCAGAGTCCTGATCAGCCGGAATCCACCTTTTGCAGGCAACTTAGAGTTGCCCGTGTGAGAAGCAGCATGGCAACAAGCCCACCCCTCCAGCTGCTCTAGCACAAAGTGACTCCTGACCTCAGGCGATCCGTCTGCTCAGCCTCCCACGGTGCTGGGATTACAGGCGTGAGCCGCTGTGCAAATAGAAATATTTAAGTCTCTAAAAATAAATAAATGAAAATAAACAGAAAGTGTTCTTAAAGAGACCTTTTGGGCTGGGCGCAGTGGCTTATGCCTGTAATCCCAGCACTTTGAGAGGCCGAGGTGGGCGGATTAGTAGGTGGGGAGTTCAAGACCTGTCTGGCCAACATGGTGAAACCCTATTGCTACTAAAAATACAAAAATTAGCTGGATGTGGTGGCGCTCACCTGTAATCCCAGCTACTCACGAGACTGAGGCAGGGGAATAGCTTGAACCTGGGAGGAGGAGGCTGCAGTGAGCCAAGATCGTGCCACTGCACTTTAGACTGAGTGACAGAACGAGACTTTGTCTCAAAAAAAAGAGACTGAAAAAAAAAAAAGGGCCGGGCGCGGTGGCTCAAGCCTGTAATCCCAGCACTTTGGGAGGCCGAGGCGGGTGGATCACGAGGTCAAGAGATCGGGACCATCCTGGTCAACATGGTGAAACCCCGTCTCTACTAAAAATACAAAACATTAGCTGGGCATGGTGGTGCGTGCCTGTAATCCCAGCTACTCAGGAGGCTGAAGCAGGAGAATTGCCTGAACCCAGGAGGTGGAGGTTGCGATGAGCCGAGATCACGCCATTGCATTCCAGCCTGGGTAACGAGAGCAAAACTCTGTCTCAAAAAAAAAAAAAGAGAGAGAGAGAGAGACTGTACATTTTCTTCCCCTTCCCAACTTCTTGCTGGCTGGAATGCAGACACAATGGCTGGAGCATTGACAGCCCTTTTGTACCATGAGGTTCCTTGGGCCTGGAGGCCAGGCATGGAAGACAAATAAGACAGAAGTGGACTAGATCCCTGGCTCTGTAAAGCACCAAAACAGTCCTGGACCACTTTCTGAGACTTTTATGGAGGAAAGCAAGAAAAAAGCCTCCACCTTAATTCAGCCACTGTTATTTTGGGTTTTCTCTTCACTCTCCTAGCCTGACTCATAAAACCATGCTCCCACAGAACTATTTGAGGGAGGTGCTTTCCAGAACCTGCCATCCATCCCTCCAGCTTTTGAGGTCTCATCTCAGAGCTTCCAGAAGCCAACCTTCTCATCACCACCCTCCACTACCCGATCCAGGGCAGCTTCCCACCTGCATTTTCTGGCAATCAGGGAAGTCCCCGGGGGAGATGTGATGCTCCAGCTGAATCTTAGCAAAGATGACTGGCAGCTTGAGGATCAGCTGCTTCTTCTTGTTCTCCTTCCCAAACACAGAGGGCATCTCCTTCTTCAGGTAGCTGATGATGTAAGCGTGAACCTGCGGGAAGAGGGCCTACCTGAGCCTGCGTCAAGGTCCGCTTGGGGGGTGCTTGTTAAAACGCAGGTTGCCGGAGCTGAGTTCGGTGGCTAACGCCTGTAATCTCAGCACTTTGGGAGGCCAAGCAATATTTAATTTTTGAGCTTCCTATAAAGTATAGACATACCAATATTCATTATTCTGACCTATTTGTTTATTTTTCAATAATTTATAAGATTGTGGGCCAGGCACAGTGGCTCACGGCTGTAATCCCAGCACTTTGGGAAGCAAAGGTGGGTGGATCACCTGAGGTCAGGAATTCGAGACCAGCCTGGCCAACATGGTAAAACCCCATCTCTACTAAAAATACAAAAATTAGCTGGGCGTGGTGGTGCATGCCTGCAGTCCCAGCTACTCAAGAGGCTGAGGCAGAAGGATCGCTTGAACTCGGGAGGCGGAGGTTGCAGTGAGCTGAGATCACACCACTGTACTCCAGCCTGGGCAACAGAGCAAGACTCTAGCTAAAAAAAAAAAAAAAAAAAAAAAAAAAAAAAAAACTTTTAAAGAATCACAGATTTAGAATTCTGAGAATGCTGGTGGCCCCTGGCTGGTTCTAAATCCTCATCTCCTCGACCGTCCACCACTGCCATCTGCAGCCCGCTGGGCTCTCAGTTCGAACACATCAAGCACATGGCTGCCCCAGGGCCTTTGCACATGCTGTTCTCGCTGCATGCACTGTTCTTCCACCCAGTCGCCACTTGGCTCACCCCTTCCTCTCCTTCAGACCACCTTAAAATAGTCCCTTGCCAGCCCCCCTTTCCTCTGCTTCATTTTTCTTATTTTTGAGACGGAGTTTCGCTCTTGTTGCCCAGGCTGGAGTGCAATGGCGCGATCTCGGCTCACCACAACCTCCGCCTCCTGGGTTCAGGCAATTCTCCTGCCTCAGCCTCCTGAGTAGCTGGGATTACAGGCACGCGCCACCATGCCCAGCTAATTTTTTGTATTTTTAGTAGAGACGGGGTTTCACCATGTTGACCAGGATGGTCTCGATCTCTCGACCTCGTGATCCACCTGCCTCGGCCTCCCAAAGTGCTGGGATTACAGGCATGAGCCACCGCGCCCGGCCCTCATTTTTCTTTATAACCATTGATTTGCTCAATGTCTGCTTCCCCACTAAAAAAGTAACTCCACAAGAAAAGGAATTTATCTTTGTTCCCTGCTGTAGCTCCAGAGTCTAGTAGAGTGCCGCATGCGCTCGGCCACTGCGGGGAGTTTGGTCTGACGGTTCAGGGCATCTTGGCCTCTTTAGAATCTTACCCTTCCAAGATCTTGGCCTTGGCGTCAAAAAAGTCGCCCCTTCTAGCAGCTATCACTTCAACCAAAGGACTTAGAGCCAGAGGAGTCGTCCACACCCTCCATCGTACAGACGGGGAAACTGAGGCACTGGGAGGAGGGCGATTACCTCTTCCCAGAGAGTGCCAGAGGGCCTGGTAGCTTTGAAGGAGCGCACGAGGGGAAGTTAATAGTGGGGCTATTGTTGGTGGCGACCAAGTGTGGCAGACTCGTACGTGAGGAGCAGAGGTGAGGGGAGGGGCAGCGGGCCTTGGTCACAGCAGACCCTGAATGCCAGGCTCCTGTGTCCTGAGCGGCACTGGGGAGCCACGGATGACCCTGCAGGAAGAGGGGGAGGAAGTGCCTACGGGTCGGAGGGACCAATCACGGCAAGGGTGTGGCCGGGCTGGAGGCGGGACCTGCCAGAGCGGACCAATGGGGCCAGGGGGCAGGGCCGAAGGGCGGCTCCACGGGGACCAGAGGTGGGGAGGCGGGAGGGCGCTGAATGGCTTTTCCAGAGAGGAAGCAGGGGAAGGTGCCAGGAAGAGATAAGGTGGGAGGGCGGCCTGGGCCGGGGCTGGGTCCCTGACACCGGGGTTTGTCTGGGTTTCCGGAGCCGCCTCCAGCCTGGCGGGGGCACCAGGTGTCTGGCCCGGCCCCGCCCCTCTGTCCCTGGGCCCTGGGCTCCAGATCCCCCCAAGGGACCCGCAGGAACGAACCTGGGGAAATCTGAGCCAGATCAGGAGGAAGGCGGGGCGGGGGGGGGTTGGGGGGGGAGAGATGGAGAGACAGGAGGCGGCGGAGAGGGTGAGAGAGAGAAGGAAAGGGAGTTAGGATAAAAGAGAAGGTAAAAATGGAGAAGAAAGAGATTGAGAGAGAGGCAGAAAGAGGACTGATAGAGAGACAGAAAAAGAGAGACGGACACTCCAGAGCGCCGTGGGCGGAGGAGCGCCAGGTGAATTCCGAAGTTCCAGGAGTGGCAGCCCCGTCCACACTGGGCCGCTCCCTTTGAAGGAGGATTCCTGGGGTGGGGGTGGGGACTCTGACTCACCCACTCTCCCTGCTCCTTAAACCAACACCCCAGGCTCCTCCACCCACCCTCCAGAACCTTCTGGGCCTCCCTGCCTGCCCAGCTTCCTGCCCTGCCTCCACCCTGGCAGCCTCCCCTGTGAATGTTCAATTCGGCCTCCAAAATCATTCTGGAACCGGCCCTCTCCTTTCTCCTCTCCCTCCCCAAGGCCTGTCCTGATCCAGGAACCTCCAGCCTTTTCCCTGGTCAGGAGTCCCCTAAACTCACATACCTTGAATCCACCCTCCAAAAGGTAGCCTGAGTCTAATTATCTCCTTTTCCTGCTCCGAACCCTTCCGTGGCTCCCTAGTGCCCTTAAGACAAAGCGCAGATTCCCTGACACAGCCCACACCACCTCCTGTGGTCTGATCTCAACCACATCCTCAGCCTCTAATTGAGTTCTGCATACTGTCTACACTGGGATCAACACTGTTGTCTTCCCTCAGATGCCTTCTCCTCCAAAGAAGCCCTCTCTGACACCCCCAGCTACCCAGCCCCAGCTCTGACCACACTGTGTCGTCATTGTCTGGGGATGGATCTGTCTCCTCTCCAGGAGCCCCAGCCAGGACAAAGCCCTGGAACTGCCTTAGTTATTAGGACTGGGAGCCCGAGCAGGACAGAGCTGGAACCACAGTGGTCACTGCTGTGTCCCTGCACCACCCAACACCAGGCCAGGCATAGAGGAGATTTTGTTCAGTGCTACTGTTTGTTCAATGTCATTCATTCAATAAATATTTACAGAGCACCATTTCTGTTCCAGGCGCTGGGGATAAATCAGTGAAAATATTCCAAGAGCCCTGATTGGCAGGGCGAGGTAGCTCAGCCCTGTAATCCCAGCGCTGTGGGAGGCCGAGGCGGGCGGATCACCTGAAGTCGGGAGTTTGAGACCAGCCTGACCAACACGGTGAAACCCCATCTCTACTAAAAATACAAACATTAGGCCGGGCGCGGTGGCTCATGCCTGTAATCCCAGCACTCTGGGAGGCCGAGGCGGGCAGATCACCTGAGGTTGGGAGTTCAAGATCAGCCTGAGCAACATGGTGAAACCCCATCTTTAAAAAAAAAAAAAAAAATTAGCCAGGCTGTGGTGGCGGGCACCTGTAATCTCAGCTACTCAGGAGGCTGAGGCAGGAGAGTCGCTTGAACCTGGGAGGCAGAGGTTGCAGTGAGCCGAGATTGTGCCACTGCACTCCAGCCTGGGCAACAGAGTGAGACTCCACGTCTCAAAAAAAAAAAAAAAAAAAGAAAAGAAAACAGCAACAGTGTCGGGGTAAAGAATGGCCCATGTGGGGGGTTATATTCATTCAAAGGAGGCAGGGACAGCTTTCCTGAGAAGGGAGCATTTGAGCAGAGCCTTGAAAGTGGTGAGGAGTGAGTGAGCCTTGGGGATGGCCAGGTGGGAGGGGAAGAAGGCAGAAGAGGCTTCCAGGAGGAGGGACCAGCAAGCACACTGCCCTGGGGCAGGACCGAGGCCACCCTGTGAAGTGCAGGGGATGATGGGAAGGGAAGGGAGGTGAGGACAGAGACGGCAGTGAGGGAAGGGGACAGCCTGTGGCCACCATCGCAGGGGTGTCACGGTGCCACTGGAGACAGCCTGTGGCCACCATCGCAGGGGTGTCACGGTGCCACTGGAGACAGGTGGTGTGAAGCGCCTAAGATGGAATAAATTCATCTTTTTTTTTTTTTTTTTTTTTTTTGAGACAGAGTCTTGTACTGTCGCCCAGGCTGGAGTGCAGTGGCGTGATCTCTGTTCACTGCAACCTCCATTTCCCGGGTTCAAGCGAATCCCCTGCCTCAGCCTCCTGAATAGCTGAGATTCCAGGTGCCCGCCACTACACCTGGCTAATTTTTGTATGTTTTGTTGGCCTAGATGGTCTTGATCTCCTGACCTCGTGATCTGCCTGCCTCGGCTTCCCAAAGTGCTGGGATTACAGGCATGAGCCACCATGGCGGTTTTTTTTTTTTTTTAAATAGAGATGGGGTCTCATTATGTTGCCCAGGCTGGTCTCCAGTGCCTGGGCTCCAGCCATCCTCCCACAGTGCTGGGATGACGGACGTGAGGCACCGTGCCCAGCCTCGGTTATCAGAACTTACTAGTTCGAGTGTCACTAAAGTTGGCATGCAGCCTCCCCTGCCCCCACTGCTAAATTTGACCAGCTTAAAAATAAATTAATTTTTTTTTGAGACGGGGTTTCACGATATTGGTCAGGCTGGTCTTGAACTCCTGACCTCAGGTGATCTGCCCACCTCAGCCTCCCAAAGGCTGGGATTACATGAACCACCACACCCAGCTCAATTAATACAAATTTTAAAAAAGATGAGCCCCAGGAGGGTCAAACCCCCGTCTCTTCCCTCCATCCGCAGTTCCAGCACCATGTGTACAGAAAGCATTCAGGAAATATTTGTGGGTGGGGCACAGTGGCTCATGCCTGTAATCCCTGCACTTTGGAAGGCCAGGGCAGGCGGATCACCTCAGGTAGGGAGTTGGACCTCAGGCCACCCGCCTGACCAACATGGTGCAACCCCATCTCTACTAAAAATACAAAATTAGCCAGTCATGGTCATGTGTGCCTGTAATCCCAGCTACTCGGGAGGCTGAGGCAGGAGAATGGCTCAAACCCCAGAGGTGGAGGTAGCGGTGAGCCAAGATCACACCACTGCATTCCAGCCTGGGCAACGAGAATGAAAGTCCATCTCAAAAAAAAAAAAAAAAAAAAGAAAAAGAAAAGAAATATTTGTGGAATAAACCAATGAACTTGGGAACCTTTGAGCCACAATCTTATAAATTATCAAAAAATAAACAAGGAAGGAAGAAGAATGAGTATTGGTATGTCTGTATTTTATAGGAATCTCAAAAATTCAATAGAGCTCATGCCTGTAATCCCAGCACTTTGGAAGGCCAAAGGGGGCTGGATCACTTGAGGGCAGGAGTTCAAGACCAGCCCAGGCAACATAGCAAGACCCCGTCTCTACAAAAAAATAAATAATTAGCTAGGTGTGGTGGCATGTGCCTGTGGTCCCAGCTACTTGGGGCAGGCTGAGGAGGGAGGATCGCTTGAGCACTGGAGTTCAAGGCTGTAGTGAGCTGTGATTGCATCATTGCACTCCAGCCAGGGCAACAGAGCAAGACCCCATCTTTAAAAAAAAAAAGGAAGAAGAGGGAAGGAGAGGATGGAAGGAAGGTAAAAAGGGAGGAGGGAGGAAGGGAGAGAGCATTGAAAGAAGGGAGGAGGAGGAGGAAGGGGGAAGAGCAAGAGGAAGGAGGAGGAGGAGAAGGAGAATAAGAAAGAAAAGAAGAAATGTCAGAACAGCGAAGCCAGGGAGGCACGGATTTGACACAGAAATGGAGAGGCGGAGGAAGGAGCCTGCATGCAGTTTCTCCTCCCCGCTCCGCTCCGCGGCAGAATGACCCAACTTCAAGAAAACTGATCTGGGCACTGGTAAGTGAGGGCCTCGCAGCACTGGTAGGCGAGGACTGAGGAAAGGCTGGGGCTCCCCCGGCGCCCTCCTCCGAGAATGCGCGCCCAGCCCCCGGGACGACTCACCCGCACCAGCCGAGCCCTCTTCACCAGGTCGTTGAGCTTGCGCAAGGCGGCGTGCCGGGGCAGGCCCTGGATGTCGCGGAAGAGATCCTGCTCCTCCAACTCGAAGAGGCGCCGGTTGTCGGGCACGAGGAGGGGCTGGGACCAGAAGGAGCCGATGTAGACGCGCAGCACCTCGGGCGTGCCCACCACCTTGCCCAGCGCCCACATGAGCGCGCCGTAGACGCGCATCAGCTGCTGCGTCTCCACCATGTCGGCCTTGTTGAGCACCACGCGGATCTTGTCCTCGTGGCCCCGCAGCGCTTCGATGGCCTCGGAGAACTCGTCGGAGATCTCCAGCTTGTGCGCATCGAAGAGCAGGATGATGAGGTCCACGCGCTCGGCAAACCAGCGCAGCACGGCCGGGAAGTCGTAGCCTGGGAGGGAGTGCGGAGACAGGGGCGCCAGGGGCGGAAGTCAGACCCCCACGCTCCAGCCATTCTCTTGCATATTGGACTGTAAAGATGTTCACGTAGTTAGCTGTTCAAATCCTGTCTGGGCAAAGGAGCCAACGACCTCAGTGGGTACCGCTGCTCTGGCTTCCCAGACCCTCGAATCTCCTCCCTCACTCTGGCCCCAGCACCTCAAGCCATCTGGCTACAGTGGGCAGTCACCCCACCTTGGCTTTTTTTCTTTCTTTTTCTTTTTTTTTTTTGAGATGAAGTCTCACTCTGTCGCCAGGCTGGAGTGCAGTGGTGCGATCTCGGCTCACTGCAACCTCCGCCTCCCAGGTTCAAGTGATTCTCTGGCCTCAGCCTCCCGAGTAGCTGGGATTACAGGTGTGCACCACCACACCCGGCTAATTTTTGTATTTTTAGTAGAGACAGGGTTTCACCATGTTGGCCAGGATGGTCTCAATCGCTTGACCTTTGTGATCTTCCAGCCTTGGCCTCCCAAAGTGCTGGGATTACAGGTGTGAGCCACCACACCCTGTCCATCCACCTTTTTCTTTTGCTGGAGTGCAATGGTGGGATCACGCCTCCCTGCAAACACCGCCTCCCAGAGCTCAGGCAATCCTCCCACCTCAGCCTCCCCAGTAGCTGGGACTGCAGGTGTGCGTCACCACACCTGGCTAATTTTTTTTTTTTTTTTTTTTTTTTGGTAGAGATGGGGTCTCACTATGTTACCCGGCCTGCTCTCAAACTCTGGAGCTCAAGCGATCCTCCTGTCTCTGCCTCCCAAAATGTTGGGATTACAGGCATGAGTGTTCATTTTTCCATTCGCTCATTCATTAGAAAGATATTAGTGGTTGAGTATGTATGTGTAGGTTGTTAAAAATACAGACATGTTATAAAAAAGAAAAAAAATACAGACATGTTTCCTGAGAGATCCCCCTGTGCTTCTGTGGAAGCCCCAAGCCTGCCACACGCCTCTATCACCCCAACTCCTCTCTCCAAGACCTGTTGGATCTCCCCACGATCCAGCAACTAGAGTTCATGCTGGACGGCTGGGCTCTTGCCATAGCAAATGCTAATTTGTGCCAGAGCAAGACCTTGTCTCTTTAAAAAAAAAAAAAAAAAAAGGTTCAGCTTTTGTGGCACGTTACTTAAACCTCAATGAAAGTGTTTTAAAAAAAAAACAGTGCTGGATGCACAGTAAGCGCTCAGCAAGTCATGGTGGTGTCACCCGCGGGGATCCACTCAGGAAGCACCCCCTGCACCCCCTGCCGTGTGTGTGGAGGCTGAGGCAGTCCCGGCCCTGTCCTTGCAGCTCTCAGCCCACTGGGACAGAGACCTCGCCCCTGAGTGATCAGGCTGGGACGAGCAGGGGGACCCAGGGAGCTGTGGGAGCCCCGGGCCAGTGCCTGACCCAGTTCCCAGCCTGGGGGGTCAGGGAGGACTTCCTGGATGAGGGAATGCAGAGTGTGGACCCAGAGGGCAAAGAGTTAACCGGCAGAAGAGGGAGCCGCCGGAAGTACCGAATTACCGACTTCAAGCCCCCCAGATAGAACTCAGTGACTCTTCAGGACTACCCCAGGAGGTGGGTGCTGTTCTGACCCCATTTTCCAGATGAGGAAACTGAGGCACAGAGAAGTCAGGGGACTTACTCAAGACACACAGGTAAGAGGCGACAGAAGAGGAGCCCCCTGGGTCTCTATGCTCCTCTGGAGAGCTGGTGATCTTGCCCATCCTTCCTGGGGGGAAGCAGCCTCCTTGAGGGTGTCTCAGGGGCGGGATGGGGTGGGGGGCATTGTTTCGGGGAGGAAGGGCCAGGTCACTGGAGGGACAGCAGCTGGATCCCCTCTCCCTCCTGGTGTCTCCACGAACACACACACTGGCCCAGATTTGGAAAGTGTGTCTCATGGGGCGGGGAGGGAAGGACGGAGAGGGGTTGAGTCAGTGTGGGATGGGAGACGTGGCAGGAAGGGTCCACAAGGGCACTCGCCAGAGAAAAACGGGCATCGCCGGCACTTCCACAGCACCTACTGTGTGCACACATACCGTTCTAAGTGCTTTGTGTGTTTTTAAACTAATTTAATCCTTAGGACAACTATGAGGCTACCAGTGTTATCATTCCCCTTGTGGTTTTTGTTTTTTGAGACAGAGTCTTACTCTGTTGCCCAGGCTGGAGTGCAGTGGTGCGATCTCAGCTCACTACAACCTCCGCCTCGCAGATTCAAGTGAGTCTCCTGCTTCAGCCTCCCGAGTAGCTGGGATTACAGGTACTTGCCACCACGCCAGGCTAATTTTTGTATTTTTAGTAGAGACAGGGTTTCACCATGTTGGCCAGGCTGGTCTCAAACTCCTGACCTCAGATGATCTGGCTGCCTCAGCCGAAGTGCTGGGATTACAGGCATGAGCCACCACGCCCGGCCTATATGTTTTCTCATTTTGCAGATAAGAAAATTGAGGCAAAGAGCGGTTAAGTGGCTTGCCCAAGGTCCCACAGTTTAAAAGTAGCAGAAAATAAATAAATAAAAGTAGCAGAGCCCAGATTGGAGGGATTTACTATGCTACAATCACACGCATGTGTTCGCAGATCTTACATGAAGAGGCAGCCTCACACGTGAGCTCACATGCGCACACACACAGTGGCACACACCCGGACACAAATATAGCCAATTACTACAAGATGCAGGCTCCCAGACACACCCGTATTCACAGTCTGGGACTTGCACAGATGTACGCGTGCACACACACACACAGAAGCATGTACACAATTCGAAGTCACACACCCTCAGAGCCACAATCATGCACATCCACTGCTATGATTGTATCTCAGGGCACTGCTGTGTGCTCCTGTGTGGCATTGTGTATGTGAGAATGCGTGTGTGCAGGAGTATATCTTTTGTGTAACTATGTGTGGTTGTGTCTGTGGGTGCCTTTGGGTCTGGGAGGGTATGGGAGGCTATACGTGTGTGGTTGTGTCTGTGTGGGTGTGAACTGTGCTCTGTGACTATCTGTACTTGCGGGTGTCTGTGTCTGTGATTGTGTGTGCATCTCACAGTATCTTTGTGATTGTGTGACCACAAACATCTGTGAGTGTGTGCAGTGAGCACACAGTATCCCGAGATACAATCACAGGTAGTCACATACAGTCCAACAAAATCCCCGCAGCCCTGTCCTGCCCTGCGCAGTCACACAAAGTCACACACAGCCCAGACATACATATATGCCCAGACCATCTCACACAGGCACACCCACAGTGATACACTCTAAATTATCCACATAGACAAAAGATGCCTTTTATGTGTCTCTGTCTTTCTCTTTCTCTCACACACACACACACACACACTTCACAATATAACAGTTTATAGGGACAGAATCAGTTGCATACAATTACACAAAGTCTCTCATAGTCCTACACAGCCCATCAGAGTCACACAAAGTCATCCAGCAGGCCGGGTGTGGTGGCTCACACCCGTAATCCCAGCGCTTTGGGAGGCCAAGACAGGAGGATCGCCTGAGGTCAGGAATTCAAGACCAGCCTGGCCAACATGATGAAACCCCATCTCTACTAATATATATATATATATATATATATATATACACACACACAAAAATTAGCCGGGCGTGGTGGCACATGCCTGTAGTCCCACCTACTCAGGAGCCTGAGACAGAAGGATCACTTAAACTTGGAGGCGGAGGTTGCAGTGAGCAGAGATCGCACCACTGCACTCCACCCTGGGCGACAGAGGGAGGCTGCCGAAAAAACAAACAGAACAGTCATCCAGCCACAATTATAGACACACACACACACACACACACACACACACACACAGGCATGTGCACAGTTTGAAGTCACACAGTCTCAGAGCCATGGCTCCAGTGACGCACGTCCACCGCTACACGCAAACACGGGGAACCCCCACACCCCGCTGTACACTCACAATGACATACTTTCCCAAGATACGCAGCAAGTCACACACACATACACACCGACAGATGGACATTCTCTCCTCCTCCGCCCTCAAGGCCAGGGAAGGAGACCCCATTCCCCACTCCCCATGCCCCCCCCCACCACCCCCGGCCCGCACCCCTGCCCTGGCTGAGAGAGCCGCTTCCGCCCGTCCCGCCGTCCCAGGCCCAGGCCTGCGGTGGGAGCCCCAGGATCCACCCCTTGGCAGGCAGCGCGTCCTCCCAATGGTTTCTGCAGCTGCCTCCTGCCTTTCTCCCGTGGGGCCTCTGGACGGCGGCCAGGGACACGCTCACCCCCGGCGCCCCTGCCGCACCCCAGGCCAGCCTCCTTGCTGGGGCCTCCCATCCCCTCTGCCCTGCATGGCCGCCTCCTTTGCCCCAGTTCCGGGCCTCCAAGGCCGTGGGGGGTGGGGGACACAGATGCGGAGCTGGGTGGGGACAGTGGTGGGGCTCAGCACCCGGAGGCCCATGCTGGAATCCACCCCCCCCACCTCCTCGCACAGCTGTTTATAAATTCCAGGCCCAGCCTTGGCCCCCACCCAGATTCCCCTCCCCTTCTCAGCCCCATCTGTGGCCCCGACGCGGAGCCAGGAGGTCCAGGGCCCAGCCTCCCCTGCCGGGGCGCTGCCTTGCCTCTAGGCCTGTGTCTCCCTGCACTGCTGCCTCATTGCCTCGGAATCCCCGTCCCTCTTCACCTCTCCCTTCCCATTCTAACCGACTGCCCAGACACGCTGCCCCTGCCCACCCCCACCACGTGGTCACCCACACACCTCCCCCACCCATCAGCGCCAGCCAGCACGGAGCAGTCACAGCTTCCACTAGCTCCAGGCAGCTGCCCCGCCAGCCAGGGCCAGAGGACACAGGCCCAGATCCCGGCGGAGACCCCGCCCTCCTCCCTCAGACCCAGGAGTCCAGACACCAGCCCCTCCTCCCTCAGACCCAGGAGTCTAGGCCCCCAGCCCCTCCTCCCTCAGACCCCGGGGTCTGGCCCCACTCACCTCGGCTCACCCTCTGCTTGGCACCCGACAGGATGCCTGGGGTGTCGATGATGCTGATGCTCTCCAGGACCTGGTTGGGGAGCTGGGCACACATGAACCTGGAGGCAGAGGGAGGGTTGGGGTCAGCGCAGGGAAGGACAGGAGGGAAAGCGTGAGGAGGGACTCGGGCCCTGTGGCAGAGCATCCTGTACAGGCAAAGAAAGACTCCGGCAAAGACGGGGAGGCCGGGACTGCCTCAGAGCCATCACCAGCCGTAACTCGTGTTCGGGGAGCACTTCATCTGTGCCAGGTGCTGTTCAGTTTTTTTATATATACGTATTTTTTAAGATGCAGTTTCGCTCTTGTCACCCAGGCTGGAGTGCAACGGTGCGATCTCGGCTCACCGCAACCTCCGCCTCCTGGGTTTAAGCGATTCTCCTGCCTCAGCCTCCTGAGTAGCTGGGACTACAGACGCCCACCACCATGCCCGGCTCATCTTTTGTATTTTTGGTGGAGACAGGTTTCACCACGTTGGCCAAGGCGATTGATCCCCATTTTGCAGATGAGGCTACAAGAGGGGCAAAGAGGTCAACTCGCTTGCCTGAGGCCGCCCGGCTGGCCGGGATTTGCCCCAGGCATGCTGACTTCACCAGCCCCAGCGCTCCCCTGGAGAACACAGCGGAGAGGCTTGGGGAGAACTGGGTAGAGAGAAGGGAGTCGGGCGAAGAAGAAGGGAAACACCATCAGGGAGGGGACAGAGAAGGGGGACAGCAAGATGCACCCCCAGGGCTGGGCGCAGCGGCTCACCAGTAATCCCAGCACTTAGCGAGGCCAAGGAGGGTGGATCACCTGAGGCCCGGAGTTTGAGACCAGCCTGGCAAAGGAAGGAAAGAAGGAAGAAAGAAAGGGAGGAAGGAGGGAAGGAGGGAAGGAGGGAGGGAGGGAGGGAGGGGAGGAAAAGGAAGGGTAGGAAGGAGGGAGGGAAGGGAAGGGGGAAGGGGAGGGAGGGAGAGAAGGAAGGAAGGGAGGGAGGGAGGGGAAGAGGGAGGGAGGGAAGGAGAAGGGAAGAGAAGGGAAGGGAGGGGGAAGGGAGGAAGGGAGGGAGGGAGGGAGGGAAGGAGGGAGGGGGACGGGCGCGCCCTGGGCTCGTGGCTGGTGCACCTGTTGAGGAAGGTGTTTCCGAAGGGGTTGAGTTTGCGGAAGGGCTTGTCTGGGTCCACGACGAGAGCGTTGCCGGGCACGGTGCCCTCGGTGTCCCCGTGCATGACGGCCACGAAGCAGTCGGTGGTGGGCTCAGGCCCCACGCGGGAGCCGGGCACCTCCTGCTCCAGCAGGTACTGGATGAAGCTGGTCTTGCCCGTGCTGTACTGGCCGGCCACCAGCACCATGGGCTTGCCGTCGAAGTCTGCGTCCTCCAGGGCGGGCGAGTGGAAGGCCCCGAAGCGGTAGTGCTCCTCCAGCGGCAGCAGCTTCGAGCGGTACAGCTCCTTGAGGGCCGAGGTCACCGTGCGGATGGCCTCGGGCTGCTGGCCCCGGGCCCCGCCCCGCTTCAGCCAGCTGAACATGGTGGCTGCGCCTGCCCACGGGGCTCACGGAGAGACCAGCAGGTGAAGAGCTGCCTGTGGGACGAGGGGAGGGCATGAGCCTGGGCTGCCCCGGCCAAGGAGGAGGAAAGGGGACTGGATGTAGAATGTCTGCGTGGCAGGACGGGTGGCAGAGGAGGAGGAGGAGCACAAATATTCGTGGTCACAAATGGCACGGAGCAGGAGGAGGATGGGAATTGGGCCAGGCGTGATGGCTCATGCCTGCAATCCCAGTATCTTGGGAGGCTGAGGCTGAGGCAGGAGGATCGCTTGAGGTCAGCAGTTTGAGACCAGCCTGGGTAAAATAGGGAGACCCCCCCCCACCCCGCCAACCAACCATCTCTCCAAAAAAATAATTAGCAGGGCATGGTGGTACATGCCTGTAGTCCCAGCACTTTGGGAGACTGAGACAGGAGCATTGCTTGAGCTCAGGAGTTCAAGGCTGCAGTGAGCTATGATCATACCACTGCACTCCAGCCTGGGCTACAGAGCAAGACATCATCTTAAAAAAAAAAAAAAAAAAAAAAAAGTGCTGAGCACGGTGGCTCACACCTGTAATCCCAGCACTTTGGGAGGCCAAGGCGGGCGGACCACCTGAGGTCAGGAGTTTGAGACCAGCCTGACCAGTGAAACACTGTCTCTACTAAAAATACAAAAAATGAGCCAGGCGTGGTGGCGCACGCCTGTAGTCCCAGCTACTTGGGAGGCGGAGGCAGGAGAATCGCTTGAACTCAGGAGGCAGAGGTTGCAGTGAGCCGAGATCCCGCCACTGCACTCGACAGAGTGAGACTCCGTCTCAAAAAAAAAGAGGGAGGTGATAGCGAAGCAGCTGGGGGAAGAGAGAGACTGATGGAGATTCGGTCAGAGAAGGATGGTGGTGGTGGAAGGATGGACCAGGCGAAGGATGCAGAAGCTGCCGGAAGAAATGATTCCTTAATCCCTTCATTCATTTCTTCCTCCCTTCTCCGTTCCATCATCTGACCCATGTTCACTGAAATCTCTCACTCCATGCTTCAGGCACCATGGACCCAGAAATGAGCCAGAAATCATCCCCCACTCAACCAGAGCCCCCAGTGAGGACAGAACATATGCCAGACATCCAGAGGGCATGAGAAACTGACCACAGGGCCAGTGTGACTCAGGGCGAGGCTGACTTTTGAGCTGCTCCATGAAGAGCAGGCAAGACAAGAGGATTTAAGCAGAGAGGATGGTGCGTGCAAAGGCCTGGAGGCGTGAGAAGTCCTGATGTGTTGGGAGCCATGAAACATCTGGGTGGGTAGCCAGACACCGGCACAAAGAGGAGGGGTGAGAAATGGCACTGAGAAGGTTGCCTGGGTGCACCCAGGGCATGAGGGCCCTTGGGTATTAACAAGAAAAATAATGCAACATTTATGAGCACTGCATGCCAGGGGCTGTGCTGACTCGCTTTACCTTCACAACCCTGTGAAGTCGGTCTATTATCATCCCTGCTTTTCTAACAAGGCGAAGGAGGCTCAGGAAGACAGGAATAAACTACTCAAAATCACTTAGCTAGAAAATGCTCAGGCCTGGCGCGGGTGGCTCATGCCTGTAATCTCAGCACTTTGGGAGGCCGAGGCGGGTGGATCACGAGATCAAGAGATTGAGACCAGCCTGGCCAACATGGCGAAACCCTGTCTCTACTAAAAATACAAAAATTAGCTGGGCGTGGTGGTGAGCGCCTGTAGTCCCAGCTACTGGGGAGGCTGAGGCAGGAGGATCATTTGAACCCAGGAGGTGGAGGTTGCAGTGAGCTGAAATCTCACCACTGCACTCCAGCCTGGCGACAGAAAAAAAAAAAAAAAAAAAGAAAAAAAGAAAAAAAAGAAGATGCTCAAGCTGGGCCTCAAACCCAGGCACACCGAAATCCTAACACAGGTCTACAGATCTGACGCGGAAGGAGCAGTGGGCACCCCCAGCCGCCAAGGCCTCGATCTCTATCTTCCCTCCCTTACCAACCTTTTATTCACCATAGGGACTGTAGTGATGTCCCCTCTTTCATTCCTGGTATGAGTCATAGGTGTGTGTCTTGGCTTTTCTTTCTTTTTTTTTCAAACATGATTGGTCTCTGTTTATGCTTATGATTTTACAGATCTTTTCAAAGAACCTACTTTTCATCAGATTGGAGTCTCTAAATACCATTCCCCACTAAAAGAACCCGAGACTCCTGGGAGAAATGGTGGGCTCCAGGGCTGGGGCGGGGAAGAACAAGTGAGCCTGGGTAAGACCCTGAGGAAGTGCTCCGAGGCGGATAGGGGATGTTTCAGCGACAGAGGACCCAGCTTGCAGGGGCTCCCACTGGCCCAAAATGGGGCAATTTGAGCATCAAAATAACTGTGAATCGAATATGCTAAAATCCATAAAACCATGGGACTTTTAAAAGGGGTGGTGAAAGGGTGGGGGACACAGAAGGAGAAGGAGTCCGTGAAGGAGTCGCAGGAGTGGAAAAGAGGCAGGATCCGGGACGTGGGCAGAGGGAGAGCGCTCTGGGCGGTGCCGCAGGCAGGATGGGCCCGGGGAGAGCTGGGGAGAATGCCTGGTGGTGGCTGAAGGCAGTGGCTGATGGAGTTGGAGGCAGGACAGGCAGGGGCTCTTGAGTGGCTGGGGGGACCAAGTTAACCGATAGGGATGACGGCGGGAAGGGAGACCCCAGAGAGGATCTCCTCTAGCCAGGAGATAGGGAGGGGTGTCGGGGGGTGGGGCGGGGCATTGGGGGAAATGGAGGAGACTGAGGCAGTGGGAGAGGCTGCGAAAGACTGTAGGAAGATGGGGGGACTGGGGGAGTGGGGTACATGGTTACAGATTAGGGGGACTGGTGCAGACTGGAAGGGACGGGGGACACCTGGGGAGACCGTTAGAGACTCGGGACAGGGTGGCAGGGAGCAGGGATCATGCACGTGGAACCAGGGCAGGCTCGGGCGGGGGTCGGGAGGCCACAGCTGCCGTGCGGGGAGCACTCACCGACGGGGCGCGCTGGCGGCTGCAGCGGGCTGAGCGGGCTGGGCGCGGGGGTCCCGCGGGGATCCGAGGGGCCCTTGGAGCGGCCTGTGTTCGCAGTCCCGTCCGGAGCCGTCTGAGCCGGGTGGGGCCCGGAGCGGAGAGAACAGGAGGGAGGACGATAGAGAGGGGCGGGACGAGGCGCCCTCCCCCCCCCCCCCACCCCGTCCCGGTCCCCCAACCGGGCTCCCGGTTTCTGGCGCCCCCTGGTGGAGAGTGAGGAGGACGCCTTAGCCCGGTGGGCGAGAGCTCCAGCGTCCAGTGGTTCGAATTCCACCTCCACCTCTGGCGTTGGGCCGCTCACCAATCTGTCTCTCTTCTTAACACGGGAATCACAACAGCAGCAGCAATAATAGTAGCAATAATTTAGGTCGGGTGCCCTGGCTCACACCTGTAACCCCAACACTTTGGAAGGCCAAGATGGGAAGATGGCTTGAGGCCAGGAGTCCGGGCAACATAGCAAGACCCCATGTCTATTAAAAATAAAAATAAATAATCCCAGCACTTTGGGAGGCCGAGGCGGGTGGATCACAAGGCCAAGAGATCGAGGCCATCCTGGTCAACATGGTGAGACCCCGTCTCTACTAAAAAAATACAAAAAACTAGCTGGGCGTGGTGGTGCGTGCCTGTAATCCCAGCTACTCAGGAGGCTGAGGCAGGAGAATTGCCTGAACCCAGGAGACGGAGGTTGCGGTGAGCCGAGATTGCGCCATTGCACTCCAGCCTGGGTAACAAGAGTGAAACTCCGTCTCAAAAAAAATAAATAAATAAATAAATAATAAATAAGAAAATAGTAAAAATAATGTAGCCGGGCGCAAGGGAGCACACCTGCAATCCCAACAACTCAGAAGGGTGAGGTGGGAGGATCGTTTGAACCCAGGAGGTCAAGGCTGCAGTGAGCTATGATTGTGCCACTGCCCTCCAGCATAGGTGACAGAGCTGGAACTCATCTCTAAAAATATAATAGGGCCAGGCGCAGTGGCTCACGCCTGTAATCCCAGCACTTTGGGAGGCTAAGGCCAGTTGATCACTTGAGGTCAGGGGTTTGAGACCAGCCTGGGCAACATGGTGAAACCCCATCTCTACTAAAAAAACAAAAATTAGGTGGGTGCAGTGGCACGTTCCTGTAATCCCAGCTACTAGGGAGGCTGAGGCAGGAGAATCACTTGAACCCGGGAGGCAGAGGTTGCAGTGAGCTGAGATCACACAACTGCACTCTAGCCTGGGTGACAGAATAAGACTCTGTCTTAAATAAATAAATATATGGCCTGGCATGGTGGCTCACACCTGTAATCTCAGCACTTATGGAGGCAGAGGCAGATGGATCACTTGAGGTCAGGAGTTCGATCTCTATTAAAAATACGAAAATCAGGCCGGGCGCGGTGGCTCAAGCCTGTAATCCCAGCACTTTGGGAGGCCGAGGCGGGTGGATCACAAGGTTGAGAGATCGAGACCAACCTGGTCAACATGGTGAAACCCCGTCTCTACTAAAAATACAAAAAATTAGCTGGGCATGGTGGCGTGTGCCTATAATCCCACCTACTTGGGAGGCTGAGGCAGGAGAATTGCCTGAACTCAGGAGGCGGAGGTTGCAGTGAGCCGAGATCGCGCCATTGCACTCCAGCCTGGGTAACAAGAGAGAAACTCCGTCTCAAAAAAAAAAAAAAAAAAAAAAAGACCGAAAATCAGGCCAGGCGCGGTGGCTCAAGCCTGTAATCCCAGCACTTTGGGAGGCCGAGGCGGGTGGATCACGAGGTCAAGAGATCGAGACCATCCTGGTCAACATGGTGAAACCCCGTCTCTACTAAAAATACAAAAAATTAGCTGGGCATGGTGGCGCGTGCCTGTAATCCCAGCTACTCAGGAGGCTGAGGCAGGAGAATTGCCTGAACCCAGGAGGCGGAGGTTGCGGTGAGCTGAGATCGCGCCATTGCACTCCAGCCTGGGTAACAAGAGCGAAACTCCGTCTCCAAAAAAACAAAAACAAAAACAAAAACAAAACACGAAAATCAGCTGGGTGTGGTGGTGGGCGCCTGTAATCCCAGCTACTCGGGAGGCTGAGGCAGGAGAATGGCTTGAACCCGGGTTGCAGTGAGCTGAGCTCATGCCACTGCATTCCAGCCTGACAGAGTGAAACTCTATCTAAAAAAAACAAAAAAAACCCCAACTCCGTCCTAGACAGCCCCCAGCAAGCCTTTCTTTTTTGCAGTCAGGTTCTCACTGGCTGTGCTGCCTATTGCAACTTTGCATGGTATTTTCCTACTTTATTTCATAAATCTGCCTTTCCTTTTTTTCCTCACTCTGTTGCCCAGGCTGGAGTGCAGTGGTGCAATCTTGGCTCACTGCAACTTCTGCCTCCTGGGCTCAAGTGATTGTTCCAGCTCCCAAGTACCTGAGACCACAGGTGTGCACCAGCTTATTTTTTTTGTTTGTTTAATTAATTTATTATTTTGAAATGGAGTTTGACTCTTGTTGCCCAGGCTGGAGTGCAATGGCGCCATCTCAGCTCACTGCAACCTCCCCTCCTGGGTTCAAGTAATTCTCTTGCCTTGGCCTCCAATGTAGCTGGGATTACAGGTGCCCACCACCATATCTGGCTAATTTTTGTATTTTTCAGCAGAGACAGGGTTTTGCCATATTGGCCAGGCTGGTCTCAAACTTCTGACCTCAGGTGATCCGCCCGCCTCAGCCTCCCAAAGTGCTGGTATTACAGGTGTGAGCCACTGCACGGGGTTCACCATGTTAGTCAGCCTGGTCTCGAACTCCTGACCTCAAGTGATCCGCCCACCTCCTAAAGTGTTGGGATTACAGGCCTGAACGCACAAATCTGCCTTTCTCTCCCTACAACTATCTTGGTAAATTCTCTTACCCCGACACAACCAGCGCAGATAATTGTCACTCACCCACCTCATCACCCTGCATTAAGGAGTGAGCTGTTGTGTCCTCTCAAAATATGCTGAGGTCCTAATGCAAGTGCCTGTGGATGTAATTTTATGTGGAATCATCAGGGCCTCTGGTGTGAAGAAAGCGAGAAGGAAAAAAAAAAAAAAAAAAGAAGAAGGAGGAATCAGGGTCTTTGGAGATAAGTTATAACGGCATACTGGTAGGATGGGCAAAAATCCAATATGGCTGGTGTTCTTAGAAGAGAAGTGATGCCAGGCTTGGTGGCTCCCGCCTGTAATCCCAGCACTTTGGGAGGCCGAGGCAGGCAAATCACGAGGTCGAGAGATCAAGACCAACCTGGTCAACATGGTGAAGCCCCGTCTCTACTAAAAATACAAAAATTAGCTGGGCATGGTGGCGCGTGCCTGTAATCCCAGCTACTCAGGAGGCTGAGGCAGGAGAATGGCCTGAACCCAGGAGGCGGAGGTTGTGGTGAGCGAAGATCGCGCTATTGCACTCCAGCCTGGGTAACAAGAGCGAAACTCCGTCTCAAAAAAAAGTTTATTCTCTGTAGTTTATTGCCATGTTAAAAACGAGGAAACTGCGGCCAGCACAAGAAAATTAGATGCCAATGTACTCAGCTCCTGGGCAAGGTTCTGATCCTAGGGAGAGGTGCCAGGAAAGTTGCAAAGCTTCCTCTCAGGAGTGGGGTTTTATAGAGAGTGAAGGCGTTCAGTTGGATTTGGAGAAACAGGATGTGGATGGGGTGAGCTGCTATTGGTAGGTGGGTGGGACTTCCGGTGAGCAGGCTAAGTGCCGAGTGCAGAGGGGACGTCCAAGGGTCGGGTTAGGTGTGGAGTGCAGAGGGGCTGTCCAAGGGCGGGCCTAGGTGCCGGGTGCAGAGGGGATTTCCAAGGCGGGGCTAGGTTTCGAGTGCAGAGGGGCTGTCGAAGGGCGGGGCTAGGTGCCGAGTGCAGAGGGGATTTCCAAGGCGGGACTAGGTGCCGAGTGCAGAGGGGATTTCCAAGCGCGGGGCTGGTGCCAGGTGCAGAGGGGATTTCCAAGGCGGGGCTAGGTGCCGAGTGCAGAGGGGATTTCCAAGGCGGGGCTAGGTGCCGAGTGCAGAGGGGATTTCCAAGGGCGGGGCTAGGTGCCGAGTGCAGAGGGGATTTCCAAGGCGGGGCTAGGTGCCGAGTGCAGAGGGGATTTCCAAGGCGGGGCTAGGTGCCGAGTGCAGAGGGGATTTCCAAGGCGGGGCTAGGTGCCGAGTGCAGAGGAGCTGTCCAAGGGCGGGGCTAGGTGCCGAGTGCAGAGGGGATTTCCAAGGCGGGGCTAGGTGCCGAGTGCAGAGGGGATTTCCAAGGCGGGGCTAGGTGCCGAGTGCAGAGGAGCTGTCCAAGGGCGGGGCTAGGTGCCGAGTGCAGAGGGGCTGTCCAAGGGCGGGGCTAGGTGCCGAGTGCAGAGGGGATTTCCAAGGCGGGGCTAGGTGCCGAGTGCAGAGGGGATTTCCAAGGCGGGGCTAGGTGCCGAGTGCAGAGGAGCTGTCCAAGGGCGGGGCTAGGTGCCGAGTGCAGAGGGGATTTCCAAGGCGGGGCTAGGTGCCGAGTGCAGAGGGGATTTCCAAGGCGGGGCTAGGTGCCGGGTGCAGAGGGGATTTCCAAGGCAGGGCTAGGTGCCGGGTGCAGAGGGGATTTCCGAGGGCGGGGATAGGTGCCGGGTGCAGAGGGGATTTCCGAGGGCGGGGCTAGGTGCCGAGTGCAGGGGGGATTTCCAAAGGTGGGGCTAGGTGCCGGGTGCAGAGGGGATTTCCAAGGCGGGGCTAGGTGCCGGGTGCAGAGGGGATTTCCAAGGGCGGGGCTAGTTGCCGAGTGCAGAGGGGATTTCCAAGGGCGGGGCTAGATGATGGGCATATTCTGGTGAGGTAATTTTCAAGCGGGGAGGGAGCTGGGCGTGTTCGAACTCCCTGCGAGGCAACCAGCCATAGGTTTACTGTCTGCCTTCCTCACTACCAAGTCGGCTTGTTAGCGGAACTCTCGCCTGCCTCGTTCATGTTGAACCCCGAGGCTAGAACGTGGCACTCTGCAGGTGCTCCACCAACACTCACAGACGGCGGCCTCGCCACCCAGATCCACCCTCAAACACCCAAAGCAATGCGCCGAGGGGGCTTGAGTACAGTTTTAAAAAAAGGATTGGTTTTTAATTTACAAGAGTTCTAAATGTACAGAATTCTCCTTTAAAAAAGTCGTTATACACAATAAATACAGTAC